ATTTTTCTTGCTCATCCTTGTTGGAAACTCACCTTCCACAGGTTACTCGAAAGCAAGAAAAAGATCGATTGAGACTGCCGGCAATAACCCAAAAAGTGATGGAGAAAGTCATGAGCCACCGGTGGCTCAGATTGTCCCACGTGGCCACTCACTCATGAGCCACCGGTGGCTCAGGATGTCGTCAACGTGTTAAAACAGACAGTGGTTATCGGGTGCCCTCCACGATCATGGACATGACAACGGTTATCATTTAGTGCGCTGGCGCCCTATGGGTCATTGGGCGCCAACTTGGCGCCACACTTTTTCTCCTCAAAATCCAAAGCTAGCACATTAGGGTCATTTGATGTCCTGATTATGGATCAGACATCCGATTTCGCCACTGCTATTTGGCGCTTGAGTGGTGCCGACGCCGACTCGATGCCATGACTCTTCCTGCTAGATTCGTTACTATTTCGCAGTTGAGGTCAATTTAGAGACCCGATCACGAACAATACATTCATTTTTTGAGCGAAAGTGCCAGAAGCGAATGTCGTATTCATGATCAGGCACGGTGTAACCCCCTATAGGCAGAGCTCCAGCGAATTTTTTTATGAGATTTTAGTGTTACTTTTTTGTTGACCCGACGTCTCGACTGAACTACTCTTCATCGGAGGCACAATTCACCACCACAGCTGCCCAATATCGGCGCTTGTTAGTGGTTGGTATATGGTTGGTATAATGACTATTTTCGTAACATATTGTGATTTATTAGAACGAGCTGGTGCCGCGCCGAACACACCCACCTCTTCCTGCCCTAGCATCTCAGCAAAAACGACATGACCTCCTTCACCTTCTCGGTTCAGTATTGAAATTTGAATTCCAGGATGTGACCAAATTCACACTGCAACTCGTCAAATGGCTTCTCGTGGCACTACCTGCGACCTTCATTAACAGTATGATTAGGTACTTTGAGAGTATCTTAGGCTTGGCATTCCGTTCTCGTCTCATACAACACGCCTACAAACAATACTTTGCGGTCAGTTAATCAGTTGAATAATAACGTATTGAGAAGATTAGTGAAAATGTTTCTCAAACACCATTATGGGATGTAGCTTTGCACAACTCATAGGAATGCTCCACACATTTGTCTTGAATGGAATAACAAAGATGAGATCGTTAGGATGACTGCTGTTGAGCGACGCAACTTGTGTTCCGAAAGATACCGCGAGTGCTAAGCTATGGAGAAAGGTCTTGACCACCGCAGGGAGTTAAACCCCTACTCCACATTTTAGGGGCGAGCGCACTATCTGTTATGCCACCAAGGCCGCTTCTTACCATCACAGCTCTCGATGGCTTTTATGACAGTAACTCAGAGATGGTTAACTGTTCACAGAAATGACAGTTTCTTGATCCCATTCGAAACTCGTTACCGCTACCTTAGCATCTTATGGTCCAATCGCCGTACAGCGCAACAATCTTTTCCTTCATCGACCATTAGGCAATCGCCGCTGACAGCTCCGTACGCTCACTGACCTCACCAAACCCTCTTCACGTAGTATCAAACCGATGATGAAAGGCGGGCGATGCCGGTCGTGTAGATTCAGAGATTTATAGGCTATGCGAAAAAAATAGGCTACCGTGAATTCAACTTGACGCGGCGGCATTCAGAGACAACAATAGTTTGCCCGAAAATTATTCTTGCGAACGGTATCGGAAATACCAAGCGAATTCACAAATGAGTGCTTTATCCAAATGGTGCCCAGGGTTGACGGGCAGATGAAAATAGTCCCTCCGTAATGTCAGGAAGCATACTATTGCAGGACAAAACCTACTACGCGGTATCGAATTTGGATAGCCGTCTACAGAATGCCGATCAATGTCTGACTGAGGACATTACAATGTTTAGTCAAAGTGTCGCTCATCTCTATTCGCATCTCACTAAACCTATTCTCGACATTGCACTCATAACGTGAGTTTTCAAACTTTTCTTTCGTGCTCTTCATTGAAGACGATCCTCGTGATTGCATATTGTGGATAGCGGCGAAATCACAAACCTATATCGAAAAGTTGCTCTCCATGGAAGAAAAACTAAAAGAAATCATAGAGAACATCATAAGTAAGAACCTGGCAACCTCTGTTAACGAGTTTTTCGGACCTGCTCGTTTTATGCCAGGAAAGCGATATCACCTCTAGCTCACCTATCGTCTCCTCGCGTGATCCAATGCTAATGCCATCTAGCAGTGAAAAAAAGTACAAAAAAAAACACGCTTTAGAGACCATTTGTGACAGAAAATAGCTTTTGAAACTTGGAAGGCTGGACAGGGAGGCGTCAGAACTGCCTTTATAGGGCCGCAGCGCCTTTACCAGCGCCTTTTACCGCTCACTGAAAAGCAGCGGGAGTGAGGCAGTTTTAGAGACAGCGGACCGCACTACTTCAACAAAGAAATACGTCTACGAGTTGCTTGAGCGCGAGCACTATCTTTGAATGGCAAAAGTATCCGAGACACAATCGTCGCATCGGTCTTAGTGGGTCCGCACCTACAGTGGAATACCATTTATTCTTTTCCAGTCAACTTTCTCAGCGCGAGATTGGAAGGGAACGGCGCCGGAAGGTGGTGATACCAGGGTATCGCACCCATACTCCTCCCGTTCTATGCGCAGCACTATTGTTGATATCAAGGTCTCACAGCGGAACACGTACTCAGCGGTAGAGAGCAAGCAGAAGGGAGTAGGCGCATGCATGGTTAGGATGTGGCTGGCTGTGCGGCAGCAAGGGTGGAGTAATGAGAATGCCCCGGGTATCACTATCTTCCATCATCGTTCCGGTGCACTTTTGTGCAGAGAAAAGGGCACACTACTGTGTAGCTAAGCTGTTGACCTCGCAAGGACTGGAATCCACGGATGCAAGTGTGATGTGACTTCAAGGCCCATTTCACATGTGATCTCATTTCAATTTCCATTTTGTTAGGAGACAAACAGCACAGCAAAGCATCGTTCACATTGAAGGAGAAAAAGGGGCGTCTTGGGAACGGCTCTGTATTCTCGTAATGACTTCCATCTCAGAAACAGAGTCTATACTTCTTTCTCTCGTTTGGATCCTCTTCTTCCGCAGCCATGCATCCCGCTCAAACATAGACTGTGTCCATTCTACAAAGATAAAAGAAAGTGCCTGTTCATGCATATTGAACAAAATCTTTAATGATCCAGTATTTTAGGTTTACATTGGTCTCATATGCGGCTAGCCGAGGTTCTGCCGAAAACGTCATTGTACCGTCAATTTTAGCCACCCTTGTTGTCGGTGTTACGGCGAGCTTATTGAAGTCAATCTCTCCAAAGTGAGTTTTCAAACAATTTGTAGCCTTGTTGCCTAGCGTTGTGGCTTCCCCCATTTGACGCCTGCTAGACTGCTAAATGAAAAAGTAGAAGGGTCTATAAGATGACAGGTAGGTTGTGAGAGGGGTCATACCGAAAAAGGAGCTTTGAGAGACCGCACTGCAACCTTCATTCCACCCACCGCGACGGTGTGCCTTTAACTTAGCTTCCTACAGAAGCATTTGACACATTTTGGCTCCTACGCTATGTGGTCCTGTTCCTTCTTAGCCCTTACCCATGACGTTGTCTTGCTTCAAAGGCACCGTCCGCGATAAAAATCCTAGGTGATTTTGCAGAAATGTGGAAGGAAATTTGCCTAAGAAGAAAATGCCAAAGGGAACGTAAACGTATTCGTCAGGCCTCCTCTAGCCAAACAACTGTAGAGGTAAAAACCGAAAAAGCCGCGCGCTGGGACAATTCTTGTCGGCTGATTCCCAGTAATGAACCTTATGACTCTACAAGAGACACCGCATCCACTTCATAATACTTGCCCGGGAGCGTTACATTTGGCAGGAAGGACGACTTTGGAGGCGGAGTCACTGGAAAAAAGGATGTACCACTGAAGCAACTTTGCGCCTTGATCCCTTTACCGTACAACTTTCTGACTGGCACAGATGTGTCCACTTCCTACATAACCTCTTGCATTTTCTTAGGTCATCGTAGACCGCTTCTTTAACCTTTGACGATATTTCCCTTGCTTTAACACCTTGAGATGTGCTGAGGACGACAAGTTCAGATTCGGCCATATGGTGGCTGAAGAGGCGAAAAGGAAAGGATTCCTGAGATATTTGCATTCACGTGTGATCACTAATTCTGAAGAGATCGCATTCTACGGAGGTCATGAAGTGGGTTCTTTCATACGCTACAAAAATTGAAAAAAAGTGATTTTGCAACCAGTGTCAGTCATTTTTAGCACTGCCCAAGCTGACCAGCTAAGTGGCTAGAATTATTGAATATTTCAGGCCGAGTTCAAACAGCTAAACAAGGCCTACGGCGAGTTGACAGATCAAACAAAGCTGATATTTCGCAAGCGAATTCTCTACATCATGGTTGAGCAATTCTTAATGAAGTACGTTTGGTCAGGCACTGGTATGGTGATGATCGCTCTACCAATTCTAGCTAGTGAATACACTACTCCTGCTAGTGAGTTCATTTCCGGAACTTTCGTACTTGTTCTTTCCGTTAGCCTTTCTCATTGCCTCTCACGTTCGGGTTCTCAAAGAGTCTCATTGCTCACTTGGTAACAAGCGTGGGCACATTCCGTGCTGATGCTATAGGCGGAAAATCGTAAAGAAGGGCGCATTAGTTCAGTAAGACTCGGCCCAGACGACCAGTGCGAAATATGCTTCGAAGAGAATATTGTCCTTATAAACGTTCCAGAGACTCGGCGACTTGAAGACGAACCTGATGGTGGTGTATCTGAACGAACGCGTGGCTTTGCTACCGCAAAGAATTTACTCTACTCTTCGGCGGATGCTGTTGAGCGATTGATGACGTCGTACAAAGAGGTATTATTGCTTACTGAGATCAAGTGATTGTCTCCGACTTCTCCTAGTTTTATTTGAGTGGTTAATTTCTATTTACTTTGTACATTCAGATAACTGAACTGGCTGGCTATACGTCTCGGGTGCACGAAATGTTTGAAGTGTTCGAAGATGTCAAGAAGAACGTTTACCGACGAACGTTAGTCAGCGGCGACGAGAAGGGAACTGGCCGCGGTGAAAGCATGGACACGTCGCGTATCGAAGGTGTGTATCTCGTGAAGCGTGCTTCATATTCCCCGTTAACCGTTTGGGCGGAATCTCTCGGCTCAGTGCACCTTCATCATTGGTGGGCACCCTAGCTAACAAATAAAAGACGCATCGATGAACAGCGCGCAATAGTCCATGTAAATTCTTTCATTCGATCGGCTAGCCAAGTGCCTTCAGAGACAAATACCACGATAAATCTACAAGGCCTATAGACTAAGCACGCCTAGTGGTGGGAATACTGTGCCCTTGAGCAGGCGCTGCGAACGTGTGTTTTCAATGAAGGGGACCGTTAGCGCCTCTACGACTACTAACATGCCGACCCAGACGCCTAGAGGCACTGCTCGCTCTGTAGCTGAATGCATAGTCCTACCCGTAGTTCACTCTACCGTACCTATAGGTACACTCTACTATACACCCTACAGTGTATGGTACGTAGTACACCAAGCGGCCTTATCATCCGAGCCCGACTGCATGTTTTTTGCCAGAGTTAGACTCCCTCAAATCCCTACCGTTCCACCGTTTTGACCGTCTCCTCGTCCACTGAGAGTGCATCTGTGTAATGACCATCCTGCCCCCATTTCGCAGGTGTTCCACCATTTCTCCCGATTTCCACTGTTCTCGCACCATCGAGCGCCTTGGTTTTCCTTCTAGAGTGTCATCCGAATGATAGAGCCAGCTGGCTTTGAAAATGCCTGCTTCTCCTGAAGGATGGCACCTCCCTCGTACCTTTCCGTGAAAGCTGGGCATATGGACGGTCGTGAGAAATTTTGCGAATGCAAAGTGTTTCTAGAGATTTAGGAATGTGATGACTTCGGAGGATGATGCATTATCTGAAGGAAGGTCGCATAGTCAGATCGCAAACGGGAATGTGTAATAAAAGCTGTCCAGTAGAGGTAGGTTCTCCTCATGAAGCAGCTACGTTGTAAGGAACGATATATGACGTTTTTTTCGGAGAGTAAGGTCGACTATAAAATTCGTGTCTGTCAAACCCGAGAATGCACACCATCACTACCAGACCCATACATAATACGGCTCGTGGCAAGAGTCTAATGTTCGGATACTTAGCGGTTGTACTGGGCCATATATGAGGAAGAATCTCAGCGGTACGCCGGCGAACCTGGTCGTACTGATACTGCCACCATCGGAACGGCCCGTACATCGACCTAGGAACGTTGAGGGCACTCCCCAGCCGTTCCCGCTCTTGTGTTTGTGAAATTCCTTCACACATTTCCGCGCGGAGCAGAGCCGTTTGCTTGAATTCAGTATCATCCGAAGGCACTCATCTTACACATAGGGGGATGATTGATGATAAGAGCAGTTGTCAACGCGATAGGATAAAGTGTATTTGGTTTTAGCTTATCTTTCTTTTTTTTTTTTTTTTTTATTTAGTTCTTTCGAAAGAAATGGCGAGGTGGCAAGATGGTTGTTCGTGACAGTGGGCCCGGGCGCTACGCCATTCGCGCGGTCCCGGGTTCGTCTCGAGGGAGGTTGGGTTTTGCGCGCGGCGCCCCTTGCCCCCGTTTTCACGACGCCTGTAGTGCCTTGCCTCTGGGCAGTCAGGAAGTCTGGGGCTGGCGCCGTGCCGAATCCAGCCCTGCGAGACGCTCCTGCATCCGCAGCGCACAATTTTAACATGCATTCACATAAGATCATGGTTTTTCAACAGAAGGGAAAAGGAGAGTGGAGTCGACTAAGCAGTTCAATTTCAAATATTCTGCTGTCCTGGACGTCTGGTATCTAAATGTTTAGTAACGGTGTGAAGCTTTGAAAATTTTAAACGGACATATTCATCCCGCTTTATCTCGGTATTCAGCACTTTCGTCGGACCCTCCCATCACGACAAATGAATCACGAAACAATTCAATTTCAGGTTATTTACCCGGATACAACTGTACAAATGCATCGGAAAGGTGTCACCGACGTCGATCTCGCGCATATCCTTCAGATTGTTCACCTGTCACATATAGTACAAAGGGAGGGAGGTATGACTCATTATGTTCCTTCTTGTACTTCTTAATGTTTTCCTATTTATATTTAAGGGGTAGAAAAACTATAGTGGTAAATGGCCCGCTTACCATGTTCGCGGTACGAAGGATGGTAAGGATGAATCCCGGATTGGTTGCCACCTAGGACAACCGAGGCTACTACCCTGCGGGCACAGTAGATTGTACCAGACTCGTCTGGCAGGATAAGAACACTGACTTGTACA